ACAGAAACAAGACCAGAAGCAGTGATAAGAGCAACCACCTGCAAAAGCAAGTCAATAGTCAATAGTTGAAAAAAGGTGCTGAATTTGTATATTTCAAAAGAAATGATATTGCAGACAGCAAGGCTGTCAGTAGTTTAGGGTGCTCAGAGGTACAGAGATCAAGTCCACCAACTTACAATACACATTTGTACCACAGCCTGGATTTGTTAGAATTCAGCGGTCACAAACTTCTCCATACTTTTGAGACCTTTTGAAAAGCCAACAAGTCTCCCTCCTGCCAGTTGGGGCTTTGTAACTTTTTGAATAGGGTGCAAAAAACTTCTCTGTGCTAAACTGACAACTGTTTACCTTGCACTCACATCTTTTTCACATAAATTACTACAGGTCAAAGGGACCTAGGGTAGGGGTTTTTCCAAATTGTGGTGGCCCATAGGCGTCAAGGCAAAACCAAAAACCTCATAGCAAAACCAAATAAGTTCATGTCAAAACCAAAAACCTCATAGCAAAACCAAATAAGCTAACGGCAAAATAAAATAAACTTGTGGCAAAACCAAAAAGCTTTGACTTTCTGCCAAAAGGTTTTTGGTCTTGCCATGAACTTTTTGGTTTTGCCATGAGCTTCTTCTCTCACCAACAGGCGACTGACATCAGCTACCGACAGCTGACCATAAGGTACTGCTTATTGCATAAGGTATAGCCATTGATTAGTGTGTCAGTCGAGTGTCAACTGATATATCGAATGTGTGATCACCACTAACATCAAATGACAATCAATGGCATCTGTGAAAATTAATATCTGACCTACTGTCCATTGAGCTATGATTGATTTGTCAGCCAAAGTTTGCTGAGATGGCAATGGAGTGTCAATTGCTGGTATCGGTCTACACTCAACTGTAGGTGTCTTTAAGGCTCCGTCCACACATATCCAGATATTTTTGAATCTGCAAATTTTTCTTTCTGGATACGGCTTCTGTCCACATGCATCCGGCGAATTTGGCAGCGAATCCAGATATTTTTTAATCCGCCCTCCAGAGTGGAAAAAAAAATAAATCCACAACGAATCTGATAACGCGTGGATGGTGAATCCCGATATTTTCAAATCCGATGACGTAGCAAAATCCTGTCCAGTCTCTTACTGAACAATAAACCAATATGGTGGCAAAACGTGTAGGCCTAGTTTCTCTAGAGTGAATCCAGATACCATCAGATACGTGTGGACAGGCGAATTCGATTTGAATACGCTGCATGTGGACAGGGAAATTTTTGAATCTGGAAAGAAAAAGTTGTGGATTCAAAAATATCCGGATACGTGTGGATGGGGCCTTAGTTTAGTACACATGATCCCTGTCATCCATAACCGACTTGCAAGCAATTTTTGTTTTTATAATCCTCTTTCAACAGCTCAAACAAGAAATTATACAGAATTAAACTTCTGCAATGTTTCGAAGCTGGGGATGTTTATACTGATGTGATTTCTAGTCAGTTTTCTAAATTTTTCTGCAAGAAGCAACCCACCCTAGTTAACTCTAGCCATACAGGTCATATTTTGTACACCCTCATCTGAATTTGAAATGTTCTTTTTCAAGAGATGTGTGTTGTGATTATTAGCATTGGGGATTTAAAACTAAAGCACTCCTCAGATGCTCACATAATGGAAGCCACACATTCCAGGTTAACTGACATCATACAACAGGGTGAGGAACAGATGCTTCTGTATAGGGAGAGCATTTCAAGAAATAGCTATGCACCCCCAGCCAAAAAACTTAGGATTACCCCTTATGAGAAAAGGCCTTTACTGAATGATTTGTTTACCTTAAATTATAGCTATCATATGCAAAATGTTTTCAACACGATTTTTACGGATCACATGCAACTCTTTTTACCCAAATAGTGCGTCATACAACCCCAGGATTAAGATAGAGCAAATGCCGGGCTATTACCCTGGAGCAGGAATCACCTCTGGAACCCAGTCACACGAATTTTTGTTTCTTCCTTTAAAAATACCGGCATTACTGGTCCATTCTTCAAAACACTTAATTATGTTTTACTGCAAACTGTTAAGTTACTTCATTCTCAACAGAGGGAACTGCTGCTTTCACTTTTCTCATAACCTACGTTAAATTATGTAAGCTCAAGACAGTTATGTGCTTTATTCAGACACATTTAATTGCTTGGATTGCCACTTTCAGAAACTGAGAGGAAAAACTTAAGCTTAATTCTTCGCACACTTTCAGATGTTCTAAAATCGCTCAGAGAAAAAAAATTCACCCAAGACAACCAGTATTTGAGAAAGATGAAAGTTAAATGGTTCTCGATTTTCTCTGACAAGAATTTTAAAAAATAAAAGATTAAGTGATAAC